TTTTCATATCTCGTATAATGTCTACAAATCTATTCTAAAGTGTTTCCAAGTTGTTTGAACTCGTTTTTGAAAAAAATCAAGTTTTTTGTTCATGTACGTGCATGTATCCGTGCATGTTTTTACAAAACAGATACGTTTTCACAATTGGAAAATATGATTTGAAAAAAAAAATTTGTTTACATGTTTATCATCATATATACAAACATTCCCCAAGTTTTACTAATTTTGGAGTTGTTTTGTTATTTTCAATTGAATTTACAAAACCGTATTTTCAGCAGTTTTTTTTAGAAAATATATATCTATGTTTAAATATTTATTTCTCTCAACTGGGAAGTGATATTTCATAAATTCTTTGTCTAACATGTTTATCTACAAGTATAGAATCTTCTATCAAAATTTTATGAGTTTTGGAGTTGATTTACTATTTGTAATTTATTTTACAAAGTCAGATATGTAAAATTTCAGCATCTGTCAAAATCTGGAAAAGTGCAGTCGACCGCCACGGTCGATCGTGCTATAGTGTGGTCGACCGCCACGATTGACCATCAGCAGTCTAGAGAGCAGTTTTGTAGTTTTAATTTTCACGGTCGACCGCCGAAGTTACCGTTGCACAGTAACGATAACTTGCTGATTTTTATTTTTTAGTGGGTTTTTGGGGTTTTTTGGGTTGTTTTCTTCTTTCCTATATATACCCCTTTTCCATAACTATTTTCTACTACCAAGAGATGTTTTAAAAGAGTTTAAAAAGGGTTTAAGCTTGTTTTGTGTTTGTTTAAAAGAGTGTTTAAGAGTTTGTTTTTGAAAAGAATTTCACAAGAGTTTGAGGGGATCATCAATCTTGTTTGGACTTCAATCTACATCCCTCCACTCTTGTTTTAGAGAAGTTTTCTTAAACTCTTTATCTAGCTTATTTATGCTTAACTTGTCATATTTATTTTGCTAGATTAAATTGAGTTTAGACTTGTTTTGATTTATCTCTTTGTTCACACACAACCTATTGAGCTTATTGTATTTATATTCATAGTATAATTTGGGGTTGTGGGTTTGTGACTAAGAGTTGTGCTTAATTGAGTTCTTACCTTGTTTAGAGAATAATCATTTGATTTGTGAGCTTTAATTGTGAGATTCACTTTGTATTATACTAGTACACCGAGAGGAGTGTGTGGTGAGAGACGAGGTTGCTTTCAAGAGGAGTTGCGTCGGTTGACGAACCTAGGGAGAGGTTGTATCCAAGCACTTGAGGAAGGACACGGAGAAACCAACACTTAGAGCATGTGGAGTACAGTTACATTGTGAGATTGTGATCGTTGATCGGTGAACATTGAAAACCGATATTGTGTGGTGTAAACGTTATTCAGGTTAGCGTAGAAAACCCGGTTATGATAGTGGATTTCTCCCCGGGAGTGGGGAGCGGAGATGTATGACGGAAGGTCCGAACTCCGTAATCATATTGTGTGTTTGCATTGTTTATATTACCCTATCATAATAGTATCTTTAGTTTAGATTGTTTACCCTTATGTTAATTTATATATCCGTGCATATATTTCATCATATACCTCTTTGCTATGATATATCTCTTTGTTCATATTATATATTCTTGCTCATAATATATTGTATATCTATCTTGCAAGAATAATTTATTAATAAGTTTTAATTGGTAAAAAATCGGATTAGATTAGCATAAGACCCTAATCACCCCCCTCTAGGGTCTAACAATTAAATACAATATAATATTATAATATATTATATAATATTATTGTGTATTACATTTAATACTTATAATACTATAATAATGTAAACTAAATATTATAACATTTTATTTATAATATATTTTATTATAATTAATATATAATATATCAATAATATGTTTAATATTAATGTTACAATAAGTCAAATTAGTGTTGACAAAAAAATACTTAACATGTTGTTTTGAAAACATTTGAAGGAAAAAACATAATATCATGATGTTTTTTTATAAAAACACAACAAAGAAAACACCAAGGTATCCAAAAGGAGCTCAAAATATTGCAGATGAATGCCCCAACATTAAAAAAACCTAGAACACATCAACTTTTCTCTACGTATCCAAGAATATCAAGAGATAGAGGGCGCTAAAGAGAAATTTTTTCTGAAACATTAGGATATTTAAGTAAGATCATCTACAAACAAAGATATTTATACGTAACATATATGTAACATGTTGTGTGCCTTGCGGAAGCGTGCTCGACAACAAACTAGTCGGTGAGCGATGAGAGAAGAGAACCAAACCAAATTACGAGTGCAATTCACCAAAATACGACACAAATCAAACCAAACATAGAAATTTACGTGGTTTGACAATTGCCTACGTCCATGCGAAGAGGATGGGAGATTTCATTATATGGAGGAGAAATACAACAGGTTACAACTCACAAACTTACTCAAATATAACTCTAACCAAAACTCTCAACTCCATCACAATATGTCTCTCAAAGTGCTCAAAACAATACTAATTCTCTCTTAAGAAACCC